TGTTTTATCTCTAGAAAAATTTTACTTGAGTGCTGTATTAATGATATTGTCCCATGATTTCTGCATTACGTTGGGTCACCTTTCTTTGGAATGGGCACGAATACAGATCTCTTCCAGTCAGTTGGCCAGGTAGCTGTCTTCCAAATTTCTTGGCATAGATGAGTGAATATCTCAAGTTCTGCATCAGTTTGTTGACAGATTTCAATTTGTATTCCATCGATTCTGGGAACCATGTTCTTTGCCAATGCCTTCAGAGCAACTTGGATTTCTTCCTTCGGTACTATTGGCTCTTGATCTTATGCTGATTCTTGGAATAATTGAACATCGACCATTTCTTTTTGGTACAATGACTCTGTATAGTAAACTATATGATTGTCCAGTTCAAAAATGGCCAATACCAGTCCATTTCAGCTCACTAATGCTTAGGATATTACTATTTATACATTCCATTTTGATTTTGACAACTTCCAATTTTCTTAGATTCATATTTAGTGGAGTCCATGTCTCGATCATTAATGGATGTTTGAATGTATTTCGCCTCATTTTGAGTTGTGCATTATCAGCAAATGAAGATTTTAAAAGCTTTATTCCTTTTGCATCATTACGCTCAACTCTACTTTGAGGAGGCGTTATTTTGAGTGTTTTCCAGCCTAAGGGCCTCATCTGGCGCATTCATAATGTTTTTCACCTTTTGGTACTATATCTGACAATGATCTACTATTTCTCATAAGGTTTTCAGTGGCTAACCATTCAGTAGTAGTCTGCCTCCCCTTCCTAGTCTGTCTTAGTCTGGAACCTCAGCTTAAACCTGTCCACCATGGGTGACCCTGCTGATAATTAAAGGACTAATGTCATAGCTTCCAGCATCACACCATCCCATAAGCCACCAAAGTACAACAAACTGATGGATGAGTGAATACACACGTACATACATACACACATATACACGTCTATATGTCTGTGTGTGTGTATATATATTTATAAAACAACATATATATGGAGTCCTGGTGTGGCGCTGTGTGTTAATGCACAAGACTGCAAAGCCATTTGAACTGCAAGGTCGGTGGTTCAAGCTCACCTGCTTGTTGTTGTTGAGTGCCATCGAGTCAGTTCCGACCCGTAGCAACCCTGTATAGGGTTTTCGAGGAGCGGCTGGTGAGTTCGAACCTGCGACCTTGTGGTTCAAACTGACTTTTCAATCCAGCGCATTAACCCA